TGTGATTAAGTAATAAGGGGCCTTGAACTGCAGCTTAAATGTAAATGAGTAATAATGAGTAAATGTAAATGGTACGCTAAACTGGAGTCCGTCAAAAATTTGCTCGACACATGCATCCATCATCGTATCGAATGGTTCCAAAGTGGAGCTTTGCCTGAAATAGAATTGAGAGATATGGCCGGGCGAGTCCTGTCAAAATTGCTCCACTATTTGTTCGATCATTTCGCCCAGGTAACTGATCTATTTTATAAACTGCCGTGTGTTGTGCTACGTGCCGTGCGTGTGCGTTGCGCCCGTGTGAAGTGTGTCACTGACTGTGTGGAGTGCGCGTGGTGGCTTCGTGCGTGGCCTGTTGTGCTGTGCAGTGCGTTGCGTGCGTGTGCGCGCGGTGCGTGTTTGTGGTGTCCTTTGTCGGTGTGCGTGTCAGTGTGGCCACTGTATGGCGCGAGTGCCCGGCGTTGTGAGACCGTGGTTTGGTGTCCGTTTGTGTGCGTATGGGTCTGAGTGTGTCACTGTGTGTACGTGTGCGTCAGTGCCGTGTGCCGTTGTGCGTGTTGCCGCATCGTGCGTGTGCGTGCGTGGTTTGTGTGTTGCCATGATGCGTGACTGCGTGTTGCGTGTGCGTCCGAGTGGTGTCACTGCGTGTGCGTGTTCGTCTGTGCGTCCGCCGTCGGCCGCGCGCGTGCCTCGTCGTGCGCGCGTGCGGTTTTGTGTCCTTGGTGTCGTGCGTATGCCCGTGCGTGTGTGCGTAGTACGTGTGGTCACTGTGTGTGGCGAGTGCGTGTGCCGATGTCCAGGTGCGTCTGTGTGCCGGGGTCGTGTGCATGGAAATTCGTCCACTATTTGTTTCTGATGATTTCGTCAACAAGCAACTACTATTTTATAACTGGTTGTGCGTGCGTGCCATGCGTGTTTGTGCTGTCCTTGTGTGTGTGCGTGTGCGTGTTGTGCCGTGTTGCGTGTGCGTGCTGCGTGTCAGTGTGATCACTGTGCTAGTGCGAGTGGCCGGTGGCCTGTGTGCACCTGTGTGTGCGTGTTGTGTGCGTGTGCGTGTGGCGTGTGAGTGTGTACTGTGTTACGTGTACGTTGTGCAGTGTGCATTGGGAGTGCGGTGCTGCCGTGTCGATGTGCTTTGTGCTGCGTGTTACGTGTGCCGTGTTGCGTGTGCGTGTTGCGTCCGAGTGTCACTGCTGTGCGCTTGTGCGTCGAGTTGCGTCACTGCGTGTGCGTGTGCCTGTGAGCGTGTGCGGTGCGCTGCTTGCGTGCGGTGTGAGCGCCTGCGTGTTGTGCTGTGTCTTGTGTGTGCGCGTGTGTTGTGGCGTTGTGCGTATGGGGCGGACCCCATCTGGTGCGTGTGTGCGTGTGAGTGTGTCACTGTGTGTGCGGAGGTGCCGTGGCGTGTGTGCTGCGTCTGGCAAGATGGTCTGTGTGTGCGTGCGTGCTGTGGTGTGCGCGCTTGCGTCGTGCGCGCTGTGCGTGATTTGTGTGTCGTGCCTGTGTGTGCGTCTCCCAAGACCCGAGTGTGTGTGCCTGTGCGTGTGCGTATGCGTCGCGCGTGTGCGTGTGAGTGTGTAACTGTGTGCCGAGTATCAGCACTGGATGTGCTGCCACCTATGGAGGTGGCAGGCGACAAAATAAACATGGCTTGCGTTTCTGTATAACTCAAGCTGCTTTCGTCTAACCCACAGAATAGATAGAAGTATGGAAATCAGACTCTTAATTCTATTATCTGGTGGTCTACCCGTATTGATACAAGGCGGTATGTTACCGCTCCGCTTTCACATACAATATCTACCGCCTGTACCGCGTGAGCTAAACCCTGGCGTTTCGCAAGCCTCTGTTATCGATCAGGGCAACTTGAATAACTGGAAAATGGACGTCAGGCAAAGCCTGGCTCGCTGATTGCGCTGCATTGCGCCGTTACAGCTCCCCCCACCCCCCTCTGATTGGGCGCAAACTGATTCGTTGTTTCGTGAGCGGGCTTGAAGAAGGCAATGCGATACATGCGCGTGAAGTGGAGATGAAGCGCGAAACCGAACCGCTAAATGCTATCATACATGCGTTAGGCTTCTCGTCCTAACTTCATTATTTGTACCCACACAGCATAAACATTCCTGACTCAACACATATATTTTGTAATATAGTTGACTAATCCGCTGCGTCAATAAAACTCAATATTCACAGACTATAGCTAAGACGGTGTCTTATAAGGTATATCTAGAAATTCTAATTATCTGTAATCACTTACAGCGCGCAATATATTTGCTGCATTATTGACTCTATCGTGCGTCATATAAACTCAACATTTCACAGAGAGGTATGGGCCTGCGTGTCTATATTCAAACTTGGTACTGGGAATCATTTGCACTAATAATATTCTAGATATATTTCCCAGATATAGCGTTCTTCAAGTTTCGACAGAGCATAAAATAGTTACTAGATTTCTCACGCGCAAGTGTTGCATGTTCATATACGTGGTTGCAAACTAATAAAATTCGTTAGGACGGCAAGTCAGAGTAGTGACTCACTGACTTCCTGTGCACACGACAGGGGGGGGGAGACTGTACTTAGGGATTGTTTAAGTTATATGTAATGTCATCCAATATCAATGTAAACTAATACAAGATACAATCTTGTGAAGCTAACAGCTTAAAAGTTAGGGAAAACACGACTTGGTTGCGGTGATCTAGTGAATTTGCTGCCCTTTGTTCTGTGAAAAATACCGCAGTTAAACGATATTCAATATGTATGTATGTATGTATGTATGTATGTATGTATGTATGTATGTATGTATGTATGTATGTATGTATCTATGTATGTATGTATGTATGTATGTATGTATCGTACTCTATGGCCGGCCAAAAACCGCCCAAGCGATCTGGATGCAATTTTCAGAGGCCGATTTCCTATACCCGGGGAGTGTTCCTAGACGAACAAAAATTCAAAAAAGTTAAAAAGTTAAACATTTATAAAAATTCTATTCATCAATAGGTGCGTACACGCCGTGCATCACGTATGTGTCAATCCATTGTGCATAACATAATTGGAGCAATGGCTTAATGGCTCGAACCCCCGCCAAACTGGTTACTGCTAATTACTGGTTCGAGTCCCAGCTGGGGAACATTTTCGCCCCTTTTTCCCTTTTTCCCCTTTACTTACCTCTTTAGTATGTATTATTTTTAATTTATGAATTTATTGAATTTATTCTTTCTTTTTTTTAAAATTTTATTTAAAAAAAAAAGTTTTTTATCTTTTCATTTATTATTATTTTTTACTGTTTGGGATGGGATAGGATGGGATGGGATGGGATGGCATGGCATGGCATGGCATGGGATGGGATGCGGTGCGATGACATGGCATGGGATGTCATGGGATGCGATGGGATGGCATGGATGGATGGATGCATGGATCGATACATGGATAGATAGATAGTTAGATTTTTTTGGGTATTTTCCTTTCAACCAAGCGGTCACCAACTGAGTAACGCCACTGATTTCCCCGGGCAACGCCGGGTTTCCCGCTAGTATTTCATAAAGCGTGATGCTGAGTCCCTGCTCTGTTGAAAATTGATACAGGAAAGTGTTTGGAATTGAAAAGTCTTCTTCTCGAGTCACTACACTACTCTTGACCTAGCCACTCCAGCACACAGGACCTGGCACAGTGGTTGAAAGCCTCAAGGTCTCCAGGTCTACAGGGCTCTGGTAATAGGGGGCATTCCAGGAGATGTTCCATAGTCTGGTCCTCCCCGCAGTTACTTTCGCTTGGCCCATCTTCGATGTATCCCCATTTATGCATGAATGCTCTGCCTCGACCAACCTTTGTCTTGAGGCGATTTATGGATAGCCAGGTAGGCCATGCCTCATTGGCTCTGGGTGGGAGGGATTCCTGGGGACTGAGTAAAAGCTAATGTTGGCTTGCCTGGAGATGTTTTGATCATAGGGCGATCCTGTAGTTTTGGGGGATTGCCATCCAGGGGTTGGACTGCATGTATGAAACTGTGCCTGGACTTTAGTCGCTTCTGTGCTGGTTCATGTTGGAAAAAGGGGGGGCAAGGGTTATTTTCTTGATTCAATTTCTCTACTTGGAATGAAGCCATTCGCCTAACGTGTGGAGGAGCAATGTCACAGAGCAGGTAGAGGTCATTTACTCTGCTTGGTCTCAAACATCTAGAAATGGCTTTGCAGGCAGTGTTCAGGACTTGTCACGTGTTCAGGTCAATTTTTGTAGCATGGGGCGACCTACTCCAGACAGGGCACTCATACTCAGCCGCAGAGGAGCACAGGACGATGGCAGTGGTCCTGATTGTCCCGGCGTCTGTTCCCTATTTAGTATTGGTCAGTTTCTTCAGATTTCTGGCACCCACCTTGGCCTTTGTATTAGTAATGTGATCCTTGTCAATTAGAGAGCAGTCTAAAGTAACACCCATGTAGACGGGGTTATGGGTATGTATCAGCCATTTCTCATACCATTTGACTTTCAATTGACGATTTGCAACCCTGTTCTTTAGATGGAAGACACTTATTGGTGTTTTTCCCGGGATTGGCACATAGATGGTTTGCTGTGTAGTAGGTGGTTAGGCTTGCGAGAGCGTCAGTGAGGGACTGTTCGACTTCTTCAAAGTACTGTTTCTGTGAAGCAATGCAGACGTCATCTGCATATAGGAAACTCCTGGTGTAGGGGTGGGTGTACTGGCTGGGCATTTGTGTGTACATTAAAGAGCAGAGAAGCCAGAACGCTGCCTTGGTCAAGCTAAGTGAAGGTGTCTGTATGTTTTTGTGTAGGGTGTGTATGCGTGTGTGTGCATGCGTGCGTGCATGCGTATGTATGTGCGTGAGTGTGCGCGTGTACGGGCTCGCTTCAATTCAATCAGTTAGAATGGCTTCCATGCCATTTGTAGGCAATCAGTAGCCATTGTTTGCTGTTCTCTTTCTTTTCAAGTGATTGTTACACTGAGCATCTCCTAAAGAATGTGTCACCATTTGCACTGCATTGCTTTGCAGGATGTGGCATCACTCTAGCAGATTTTCTCAGTGGCGTCGTTCACTGGGGAGCCGATACATGGGGGCGTGTTGATATGCCAATATTTGGTCCGGTAAGTGTTCACTGTTCAGCATGTAAATAATAAAAAAGAATCATGAGAAACTCCATTATTGGAAAAGTTACAAAAGTAAAATGCACCCCGTGAACAATCGTATACTTATGTTCCGTTAAGTGTGCAGAATTGATTGAAAGTTGGTACTATTTTGAAAAAAATTAGAGTTACACATGATAATATCGTGTTGGCAATCGTTAAACTATTTATATATTATGTCAGCAGTTTTCATGTAAAGTTGAAATGGTGTTATTATCATTTTAAAATATTAAATCATACATTTTAAAGGGGTATCTAGTAAACACTGTCTCCATGATTCCAAGATAATATCTCCATGATTTTTATACAATGCACAAGGTAAATTATTTGTCTTTACCAACATGATGATTTTATTACACTTATAGTCAGAGATTAGTAATATGCATAAATGCCAGCACCATTTGTCATAGTTACAACCTAGATCTAGTGTTAAAACTTGATTTTCTTGATAAACAGTAATTTCGCGTTAATTTACAATTATCCATGGTATTTTTTGCTTTCTAATCGGTATTTGATTACAATGAGAAAATTCATGGGAAATTTTGTCCTTTTTATTCAGCTATACTCTTCATTTCAGCTCAGCTATATATCGACACTGGACAATTCTCTCGATCATAACATTTCAGGAACGATTTCATCTCGAAATGTTCGTCAACATTATCCCTGTATTGTGCAGCTGCTAATAGACAACATCTGTGTGACGACAGGCATTCATTCGTCCCTTCCGCGAGCACCACATCGACCCGACGGCGCTGACGCGACACGACCTCATCGAGGCAAATGGCGACAACTGCATGGCGACGATTCCGTTTCTCAGCTACATGGCGTACAAGTTTGCGAGCCACGCTCCCGAGCAGATCGCGGCCGACTACTCGTGGGACATGTTTGTGTACCAGCTGAGCATCTTCGTCACATTAACTAACCAGGTGAGAGAGCGATGATGCTAGTTCTGCTTGTGCGCTTACGCTGTCAGACTTTTTTAGTTCATCTGACGTAATCAGGTGCAGCTTGTAGAATCGCATGATTTTCCGTCCGTCCGGCCGTCCGTGCGTCCGTGCGTTCGTCCGTCAACAGTTGGGCACAAATCTTAACCGCTCGACATACGGTCACGATATTCGGGACGTGGGGGGGTAATCCGAGAACGAGTTGGGATGTCGAAGCTGGGGGTCAAAGGTCAAAGGTCAAGAGGTGTAAAAGAAGGGGGAACATTCCCTCCTTAACATAAGGTATAGGGAGGAAATGCAGAATTGCAGCACAAATCTAAACGGCTCGACCTAGGCTCGTGATAGTCGGTGTATAGCATCATGGTAGGAAAAGCCATCACTGTGCCGAAATTGGCCCGCACTTGTTTATGATGTCCTTTATTTCCAGAATGTACATTACATTACACGTTATACAGAATATCTACAATATTGTGATGGTAGCATAGTTCAGTGATGGCCCAAACAGGTATATAGCATAAACAGTTTTTAATAAAGTAGTGCTTTCGCTGTCAGGCTTGGCAGGAGAGAGACAGGGAGGAGAGAGAGAGAGAGAGAGAGAGAGAGAGAGAGAGAGGGGGAGGAGAGAGAGAGAGAGAGAGAGAGAGAGAGAGAGAGAGAGAGAGAAGGGGGAGGCAGAGAGAGAGAGAGAGAGAGAGAGAGAGAGAGAGAGAGAGAGAAGGGGGGGGGAGAGAGAGAGAGAGAGAGAGAGAGAGAGAGAGAGAGAGAGGAAGAAGAGAGGGCTGGCCTGGTACGCGCGGGCACTGTACATAGATGGGTTCATAGTCTATCTATAGAGTGCCAACTTGCTGTACGTTTCCTTTTCACAAAGGAAGCGCGGAGAGTATGTAACATCGGCAATGACACGTGATACCGTCAGGATACCGTCTGTGCGTAACGTCGCAGATTCACAAGTGGTCGCACACCAACTTTGAGCTGGCATGGTACGCGCAGGCACTGTACATAAATGGGTTCAGAGTCTATCTATAGAGTGCCAACTGGCTGTGTTTCCCTTTCACAAAGGAAGCGCTGAGCAGGGTGTTAGCCAGGAAAACAAAATCGGGGTGTGGCTGCCTTACGATAAATGATGCGAGTGAAATCGGAGATATTTTATTTATCTTTCGTTTATTCCAATGTTCTTCTCGATTACATCCCTTCACTTTCACGTAAAACTAAAAAGATGCAAACAATACAAAATGAATTAATTCTTAGACACAAACGCACTACCATAACCCGTAAAAATATGGAATGAGTATCATGACAATTTATGCTGAGGAAAATACAGCAGACAGCATATATTTACAACTACAAGGCTAGAAATGACATTGCACAAAAACTATTATTCATGTTCATAGAATTGGGACTAAGAGAACAGAGGTAGATTTGTCCTTATAAAATGTATACAATGGCTTAAGGCAACAGAACCCTCGTCTAATCGAGTAAATCGACATCGTTTTTTCTCATTCATCTTTCGCAAAGGTCCGTCATTTTTAGTGCACAGAAACCAACTCGGTCATAACAATGAACATCTATCGGTAGAACACGGCAATGCTGTCGTGAAGCTAGCAGAGATTTTTCATCTTCTACAACCCGTTTTCAGGCCTTATCTAAGCACAGGTCTAACTAGCAATAGAGCTATACTTTCTATACATCATCTTTCTCATATTTACCTCCGTTCCCGCTTGTGCTTCGTTAAATTATCGCAAGACAATTATCGCAATAACAACTCAAATTCTAGCGAACGGCATGCGTGATTTTTTTTCCTAGGTCAATCAAGAACATAGGGCTCTAGTGAGTGCTGCTATTGGTTGAACCTGTTTCGTCGCTCAATGACATCACAGTGTCGTCATGTTCATAGCACATCCAAAATTCATAATTCCAATTCCCCCTCAATAGCCGAGCGAGTACAGCACGAAATTCAAGGCTGAAAGGTCGGTGGATTGAATCCCATCCGTTTTTTTATTATTTTCCTGTTTTCTGTATTTTTCTATCTTTATCCGTTTAACAATTTTTTCTAATTAACGCAATATTTACATGATTTATTTACAACAATTTAATAACAACAATTAATTTTAAACAATTAAAAATTAAATTTTTTATATATTTTTTTTTATTTTTTTTCAAATAAAATTAGGGGGGGGGTTTGGGTTAGGGTTAGGGTTAGGGTTAGGATCACAATGCAGTGAATGCACCATAAAACAGGAGTTTGAGGCACGTGATTTGTATCAACCAATGGCAGCGCTCACTAGAGCCCTATGTTCTTGATTGACCTAGGAAAAAAAATCACGCGAATGGCATGGTCTCTCTTAGGCAGGAAATACTTCCACGCCCCTAGCGGATCAAGGCACGTGACCCTCAAACCGCGGCAAATAAAACAAGTGCTTAATTAACCTCAAAATATCTCATTATAATTCAAAATATCTAATTGAATAACTAGATTTCATCACCAGCGGTGACAAGGGAGTCTCACCATCTGAGCAAAGCGAGGATGCTGTCGGTGCGAAGTGCCCTAGGGGGGAGGGCCTTACCTTAAAATGGAGGAAATATGGCCTGAAATGCCAAAAAGACAGGAATCTGATAATATGATTTTATATTCTTATAAGCACTGTTGTCAGTTATACAAGGTGTATAATATATCAAATTGGGCCGCCCTCATGCCTCTATCAAATTTCATCCGTCTCATCCAAGAATAGGCCGTCCAAAAGACGGGTAGACGGGTCTCTGGCTAACACACTGACGCTGAGAGTATGTAACATCGGCAATGGCACATGAGACCGTCTGTGTGTAACGTTGCAGATTCACAAGTGGTCGCACACCTACTTTGGGTTGGCCTGGTACGCACAGGCACTGTGCATAGATGGGTTCATAGTCTATCTATAGAGTGCCAACTGGCTGTGTTTCCCTTTCACAAAGGAAGCGCTGAGAGTATATAGCACAATGTGCATAATGTTGCAGATTCACAAGTGGTCGCACACCTACTTTGGGCTCCCCTGGTACGCGCAGGCACTGCAGAAGGCTCACATCGTGCTGCCGCGCAAGCACCATCGCCTGCACCACGTCTCGCCGCACGAAACCTACTACTGCATCACCACCGGCTGGCTCAACTACCCGATGGAGGTCGTCGGGTTCTGGCGACACGCCGAGACGCTCATCACAAAGCTGACCGGCTCCATACCGCGGCAGGACGACATGAAGTGGACCGCGAAGACGGAATGACGACGTGGCGCCCCCGCCCTGCATTGTTTCGGAATCACGAAGTGGTCTGCGAAGATGCAGTGATGACGTGGCGCCCCACCCCTCCCCTGTGATGTCTCTTTTTTGTTTTCGGAATCACGAAGTGGGCTGCGAAGATGGAATGACGACATCACGCCCCCCTCCCCTCCGACGTCTTTTTTGTTTTGTTTTTCTAAATGGAACAAACATTTTTCGCAGGTTCTTAGAATGTGTACGTTACGTTGCTTGTGAGCATGAATGCACGGCAGCATTCTGCGACCATTGTCTTGGTGTCCTATATTTGGGGTATATCGCCTGCTGCATCGCTTGTCCTAGCAGAGTAGATTTTGCATGGCGATGCATGCATATGGCTTATCTACGTGTGTTGAGATTAGAGTGCCGATTGTGTGCTTCACGCACTACTTATCTGTGCAGTATCGGTACAGATGTGTTTTCTAACCGATTTTTAAAACTCGAAAAATGGTTCGTAGAAAATTGAAAATGGCAGCCAAAACTTTTCTGCATTTTTACTCAGGTTTTCTGGTGGTTCTCCACCTGTAGCTATTGCTGTATGTTCTTTGTCATGTATTTACGAAAGTTTGCTAGCACTGTTTCCTTCTGGATTGACACATTCCAACTGATACGTTCTGTGCAGTACTCCTACTTATGTACCATTGTTGGAGACGTTTTCACCTGTGCCTAGTCTAGCGGCTTTTTGTGCAGATGGAATGAACGTCTTCAGAAAAAAAAGAAAAACCAATGAAAAAAACAATGCATACAAAACAAATGAAACAGCAACAAATGTAGTTAGTGACTATGCTAGATGATTGTTTGCGTGTAATAATGTATATGAGATTTGCAGGGTACAGCCCGGAGTACACATGCTATTTTATTTTGTCAAACTGGCACCTGACGACCTGAGTTACAGCAGCAACACTAGTTTATTGAAGGCAACATTCACGTAGTTGAGATTTATACGTAGGATGGTGATAGTGATATCAGTCAATTCGAATCGTGCTCTCTCGTCAATGCAGCTTCGGTGACTCACAATATCTCACAAAGAAAACACATGTTAATACATAGAATACGCAAGACATACAACATAATTCATGCGACAACGATATTCTCTATACGCAGTGGTCACGGCACCATTGTAATAATGAGTTCCTTCTACTCGTTTGTTATCCGTGATCGTATGAGTGGTCTACGTATATTGTTAGAGATATCGCTGTACGCATCATACACCAGTTACTGAACACTGCAGGTACGTGGTTAAAGTACAAACATCTTTACTGTTCAAGAATGACAAGACATATAATATGTGCCCATGTAATGAGCAGAACATATACAGATGTGTACGTGCTATACAAACAGAACTTACATCTCAAGCGTTGGTAGCAGTAACCGCAACAGTAAGACTAGATACGTATGTCAACTAGATTGCAAGAGCAGACAGAGGGTTATTTCCTGTGCTACCGTTTAAATAGTGACGCCGTGACTATTGTCTTGGTCGTCCGCCGTCATTGGTCGCCCGCTCCAGCGACCTCTGGTCACGCGTGTCCAAATGACACGCGCTCCCATTGGCTGCTGGTGCGGGTCGTGGTCACACCCCCTTGACCACCAGCCCAATTACGTGTCGCGGGCTAGATCTGCACACGTGCGCGTTTCTAAGACAAAGAGCTTTGTCTTATCCTTCTGATTTCCTTATTATTACATATTACATATTCCGTATTACAAGTGTAGTCATGGCATTCGTTTACATATGCATATGTAAGCGAACCCTGATAATATCAAATAAGCATTGCTGACATGTTTCCCGGTGTGGTTCACGGATATGTGGTGACGGGCCCATGTCAAGTTCCCCCAGGCTTAGCTTAACGTTGATCGCCCCAGTGGCATCCCTTCTTGTCAACCAAATTCTTGTACTCTACTATTAGTGCCATTTTGAGGGTTACACTTATGGAACACTGGGTTTATTACAGCACATGTCTTTTAACAGAAGATAATTTGCTAGTTTAATAGCTTGCGTTTGTGTCGAAAAGGTATGTCAGAGTTAAAAGCGTCCAAACTTATTCTGTCCATTTGAAATGTTTTCTGTGGCTTTGCATTGAATGTTAATAGTAATAAGTCCATCCGCAATCGTGTTAGTGCAGTTTTTATACCAACATGTATCTTGTGCATCTAGGATTATAGTATGCTTGCGCAAGCTGGACATAGTAATCAAGCTGTGTGGTGACCTATTTTTCCTTGTCCAAATTTTATTTTCGTTTTATATATATATATACACATGTCGCTGAATAAAGTTTAGTTTTACATGCGAATATCAGAGAATAATGTTTCCCAGACAACGTTCTTGTTAATGTGATATCTAGTTGATTGTTGGTAACAGGGAACCGTTTGATGGAATGAAATGTTGAGAAAACAATTCCCATGTATGATGAATGTACCTATATGAATCTTCAGTGCTAATGTTGTACGTTATTGTGTAGCAGGCATCTCCTTAATAGCTGAGCTTTAGAAAAATGTGATGTTAGAAAGTCATACATGTATTTTCTTTTAGATATACCTGTTTGTACCTGTTCAAGTGTTTGCATATATATATATATATATATATGTTTGTGTGTACGTACGTGCGTGTGTTCGCGTATGTATGCATCAAGAGTAGATGATAAAGATGTATCTGCATTATCTAATATAGGTCAGTCTTTACGATCTACTCAGAAAAAATATCACCAGTCTTTTTTTATTTCCATGGAAAATTCTGTTGATATACGTGAAGGAGACAGTGCAGACTGTCATTATTTATGATATTGTATCGTACTGTATTGTATGTAATTATAATAGTGCTTGTTGTCATATATTTCGTGTGAGGATTATGAAACAACGGTATAACCTGAACGCCACGTATTTAAGGACAATCGGTTGTCTGTAAGCGAATCAAAGCAATCGAACATTATTATCATCAAAAGCAACAGAATATACAGTTCTGAACAACGGTTGTGAACAGGAACATAGTGCAACACATTAGCATTCCGAGAATTTTAATTTCTTTATTAAAATCAAGTGAACTGTAAATAGTACATTTTTCAGGTGGCATGGAAATCGGACATGAAACACTTTATTGACATCACCATTGGTTTCACTACTCAGGGTTTACTTATACATGTTGTGTTACAAATATCAATCGAAAGAGAATTAATTCCTAGTTTACAGTGGGCACCTGCCAGTTTAGCTGAGAGGGTCTATGTCCCCCAGGGTACTGCCGGAACGTACCCTGGTACTATCTAATATGCCGGAACGTACCCTGGTACTATCTAATATGCCGGAACGTACCCTGGTACTATCTAATATGCCGGACCGTACCTCGCCTACTCCAATAACAAGTCGCCTACTCCCTAACCCTAACCCTAACCATATCAAATAGTTACCAGGGTACGTTCCAGCAGTACCCTGGTGGACATAGACCCTATGAGCGCCAGTTTAGCAGGGTTAGTTTCATGAATTTTTGGTTCTTGTGACTAACAGTAATGCGGCAGATATATGGTGAGGCTAGCGTACGTGTTTAGTACGGAGGTGAGGTAGTTAGCCTAGTCGAAATTGCCTATGATGTAAATCAACGCGATCTGTGCAGCCTTTTTCTAATCACGTCAAATATTGTTTCACCGAATGACAACTGTTCTCTATGTAGTCTCAAGTGTAACCTCTGTGTGATGTGTATGACTGCCACAATGTAAACAGGGTATGTGGATATTGTAGTGGTTTTATGGTGTGATAGTCGGCATGGTAGCTAACGAGAACCTTACGTGGCAAGTGAGTCAATATCAGAAGATATTACGGCAAGTTCACTGTTTCTAAGCAATCATTGTAGACAATTTTGTAGTCGTATTTGACAGTGCTTTATTGTGTGCGATTGGAACTTGTAATATCACGTACCATTGTCAAAACCCGATTCGTATTATGCCAGCGCTTGCTTAATGGGATGGTATGGTACTGCATCCCCAGAGGCGTGGTATGCCGAAGTCATTGTACTACAGGGTTCTATAATTTGGTCACAAATTTCTACTTTCCCTTAGTAGGTGTGGGGTAACGGTTCTCTGCATACACATTTAAGTTGGTGTAATTACAATGTAGGTGGCTTAGTAGGCAGCTTTACAGATGTTATAGGCGGTGCTATTGAATAGTGAATGTGCAAGCGACGTGTGTATTATTATTAAGCATCAATCGCCAAAAATGAATTTGACTTTGTCGGAACAAAGTAGTTGGCAGCCATTCTTGAAACTGCCCTTGAGGTGTAAATTGATTACTGTATCATCAGACTGAATGAGGGAGGGGGGCAAAAATTGGTGAAATTAGAAAATATTTAGGTCAAAAACTATCGAAGAGTTAATGGAAGATGTATTCCATGAGGAAATTAAACGTTTTTTGAGGATTTGTTAGAGGGTCAAGGTGTAAATACTCAGTCTTTCAGGCATCATCTCTAGACAAAAGGTTAGATCTGAGTCCTACTTGCTGAAATTTCTCACAAGGAATGATAAAACAGGAACTATGCTAGACAATATTTTAACCACGAAAGATAAATAGGAACAGTAACAGTAATTAAATAATGTTTTTTATACATGATTGACAATTATCGCAGATATGAAGTATTGTGACCACTGAATTAGATTGAAAAGCATACATGTACGCACGATTGTTTTATGAATGTATAAAGACAATAGCCGCCAACAGTCAAGTTAGTGCCGAGGTGTAGCTAAATACCAGTCGGTCTGTTCCAGCATACTTATAATATAAGATGAGAAATATTTGCATGTCTTTGTTGTTTTTCTCAATTTCGCTGCATAACCCATCCAAAAATCAGAAAAGCTGTGGCACGGGTCTTCCAAATAGCAGTCTCCACGATGGTGGTATACTCCATAGATTTGGCTGAAAACATTAATATATACACTTATTTGATATAATGATTAAATAACGTGACTTGATCGATACAAAAGTTTACATGAAAATGCTTGGAAGTTGAAGAAACAATTTGTACAAAAAGTGGTGAAACATTGGAAGTTAAGAACGAGGACAAGTAAGCATATATAGACTTCTTACAGATATGACTACATACTGTATACGCCATATTTTTCGCGTACAGATATTTTCGCAAATTCAGACTTGACGGACAATTTTGCGGTTTGTGAATTCCCGAATCAGTGAAGAACAGCGTGTTGTTATTTTCGGGGTCGGGGACGCGTTCGTGAAATTCGCGAAAATTATACTGTACATAATCATTGTATACAGATTGAATAATCGATGTCATCCTGCATTCTAGCAGCAATGGGTTAGTTTTAGATACTATAACAATGGTGCTGACACACCTTGTCTACTAACTGCAGCCATTGGTTAAGTTGGTCCACTAGACCAAATGCGTCCCCTGTGTTGTCACCCTCAGAGCAAAAGACGAATAACACTACCAGAGGGACATCGCCTTCATTGCTAAACAATGAAAAATTAAATATATAAATACAAATAAAAATGAAATTCTATCAGTGTAAGAGAAAAGGGCGCTTACACCGTGCAAGGTCTCAAAACGTTTAGTGAACAACCAGACTGCATCTCAATAAATACAGCAAAGTAAGGGGTACATTCCTATAGGGACTGTTGCATCCACAATAAAGTGTGTGTGCGTGCGTGCGTGCGTGCGTGCGTGCGTGCGTTCATGTTTGCGTTCATGAGTGCATGCTTGCAAGCGTGCGTGCGTGCTTGCGTGCATGTGTGTGTTCAATACCATAAGTTCATGAACAGTTTCGTGATCCCTCCTCCTGGCATGTAGAAGGTGTCATTGGGGTGGTCCGCATAGTCCTTCCTCAGCTCCAGCTGCTTCCACCCGTTGGCTGACAACTGCTGCTCACATTGGTTCTCACTATGCTTGTTGCAGATGTACCGGTACTGTGACCTGCCGAGGCAGTAGTCTGATTATGGTAAATTAAAGCCTCAATGCTGGCACTAAAGAGCCCTATGACTGATATAATGACGCAGGCCCGTAGCCAGGAGGGGTTCGGAGGGTTTGCACAACCCCCCCCCCCGAGCAAAAAAAATAAAAAATTTGCAAGAATTTCACCTCAGGTATGCACCAGATCGCTCCATTTTAGTGTAATAATTGCAAAATCTCCATCGTGCCTGAGGGGGGATACCCCCCTCCCACACCCTCCCCCGCTCGGTCGCTATGCTCCCTCGCTCAGTCGCTTCGCGCCCTCACAAATTGCCAACATTTAAAAACGAACTCCCCCCAATATAAAGCTGGCTACGGGCCTGATGACGGAAACATATATTGTCAGAGTCCACCTTTAAACATGTATTAATAGGGGATGCTTACACAGTAAGATTGGAGAATACACTTCTGAGTAAAATGAACAGGCCTTGTGTGACTGACAGGCAGCTCCAGGCAGTTACTATTGTGATAATAAATTCCAAAAACAATGCTTGGCAACAAATTGTGTTTAAGTTGCTGAGTTTGGCATGCAAGCATGATAAAGCCATCCAAACTGATCTAACTTGCCCAACTCGGCAACAATATCCAAGGTGGGACATGATTACCTTACTTAGGCAATATATATTATATAATATTTAATATACCTATATTACACTGTTGTTCTCACTGGGTCCTAAAGGTAATTGTAAAGTCTTTCAGAAATGTTTTCTCCCAAACCCTCATGATATGTCAGAAATTTAGTTGGCAATCCCCAGATAATCAAGCCCTGTTTTAACAACTGGTCAGTTTTATATAACGACAAGACAATTTAACCTTGGCAAAAGAATCATGAATGAAAACCCCTCAGGAACATCTATTGTTTATCAGAATTTTTGTCAGTATGACTCTTACAAGACATTATAAATATATAAATACCCTAATAACTGTGCATCGTTCCTGTAGAAAGCATTCAAGCTGGACAACATCACAACATTTCTGAAATTCCATAACTTTATCCATGATCTCAACTGCTTCAGGTAGTCAGATTTCTTTCTCTGCAGGCAACAACAAACACAGGTTCTGTGATGAATACATTTAATTTTAATTGTAGCTATATTTTTATTAGCTTCATGATCATTGTACGGAGCTTGAATGCTTTGGATGCAACAGACAGATTAACACATTTTAAAACACAGTTAAGCTAGGATACTCTCAAGGGTTTAGGCAAAATTTTACCAATTTTTCATTTTCGACTTTATTCGATGGCTATAACACTATGTGCCACCTCTGTATATGCTCATTTCTCCATATAACGGTACATGTGAACTTTTAGAGCGTTTTAATTGCCCGCGTACACGTGTAGTGAGCAGCAGCTGACGTCACTGATGACGACAGAGACATGAAACAACCAGAATTTTCATGATATTCACTAAGCCAGTATCATTCAGCATCAACCCTCCTACAGCTGCCATCTGCCAGTGATAGTTGAAATTGCCGCGCGACCGAAAATAGCCCCGTTTCCCTTGTTACACACCTTGCATTAAGGCGCGTGTTTAATTGTTGACACATAGCTAATTAGTAATGGCATGCAGTACACATCGTACGCGCGTTTTGCATGAAAGTGCGGTGGTAACCTCGTAATTTCTCACAATTTTTCAAGGTGCATGGAACATATTACCAATTTAGTGGTGTCAGTTAGTCATGGATATGTCGCAGTAAGTACTAACAGTAGATATTGCACATACGTTCACCCATTTTGCACACAGGCGGTCAATCATTGTGAAAAATAGAAAAACGCTGATTTCTCCATTTTTATTTCTGACATAGTAGCCGATGTATAAATAGATATTTCTCTGTGATTACAACTCGGATTAATTTAATTTTACACTCGTTTTAATGGTAACATATTGCTGTAAAAAATGTCGTAAGAGATTGTTATTAAGTGCCGTATTTTATTAGTTATGCCTCTTTATTCGCTAAAATTTTCAATTCTAACACAACTTGATTTTTAAGCAGTTTTTTCAATTTTTCTCGGTAAATATGAAACTTAAAGAAAAATCCTGATGCACTATGTTGGTCCATATTGTGCTTAACATGTGGCAAAAATTTTGTATCCTCACTCTTTCTGGTAGTTGAGAAATATCCAAAATGCCATTTTTACATAACAAGAGCCGCGGAGCGTCTGGGCTCATCTGAGGTCTGTTGCTACGGTTATAAACGTAACATTTCAGTCGTGCATAATGATACCTTTGTTAGGCGCAGATATGCAGATACGCAGTTGCGTACACATCATTTCAGCAAACATTTTTTTTATTGCAGAGAGAGAGAGCGAGAGAGAGGAAGAGAGAGAGAGAGGGGGAGAGAGAGAGAAAGAGAGAGAGAGAGAGAGAGAGAGAGAAAGAGAGAGAGAGAGAGAGAGAGA